AACAGCATTAGACTATCCCGACAAAAGACTGCACAGTTTTATTGTCATTTTTAAAAATAAATAGTAGCTGCTCTACCGATCCGTATCAGTGGTACAAACACTTAATTTACTAAGATTGGTGAATGATATCATCTCGCGTTCAATTAATGATGCGGCGTAGACACAACAAACATCACGGCGATATCATTAAACGAGTTAAGGCATGTCCACGAACTATCTACATATAAAAAAAATAATCTAAAATTACTATAAGATAATAATAATAACATATCGGGATATATGTGTTATGGGTAACACAAGCTCTGCTTACCTTGGGACTAGATGGCGCTGTGTGAATTGTCCAGAGATATATATTTATTACATCAGCATGGGGTTTACATGGGGTTTACTAGACAACTTATATAAATACATATATACTTTTTTAAATACATACATATTGACGACCTCGGTGGTCTGATGGTCGCGGGTTCGATTCCTCGCACAGTATCAACATTTGTATTCATGATTGTTTGTATCGGTCTGGGTGTTTTCTATGTATAATATGTATGTATTTACAAAAAAAATAGCTATGTATCTGTATCAGGTGTCTAGTACCCATAACACAAGCTTTAGCTAGCTTAACTTGGGTCTAGATGGCGCTGTGAGAATTGTCCTGAGTTTTTTTGTTTTTCAAAAATTCTCATCTCCCCTCTTAAGGAGAGGAGATGGCAATTTTTATAGATTACATTATTATTATTATTAATAATCATATCTCCCTTTTTACGGGGGTAATATATTCAAACGCGGGCCTTAGCCAAGCATGGATGAGTTATGTGACGAAGAAAGAAATTTTCTGACTATTCGGCATGTGTATAGTATGACGGCTTTTTGTAATAGGTCTATTGTAGAGGAGGGGATATGCAACGTGTCTAGGTGTTTGATAAGACTTCTTGGTATAATTCCTGTGGATGACAAAACTATGGGTACTATGTGGATGGTGTGTGCTTTCCATTGTTTTTTTAATTCTATTGCTAGATCTGTGTACTTTGTTAGTTTTTCATTGACTGTGCTTTGTATATTGTGTGTGTTTGGGATGGCTATATCTACAAGATATACTTTTTTATTGATTTTGCCGTGTAATGCTATGTCTGGTCTATTGTGATGTACAGTTTTGTCAGTAATTATTGTTCTATCCCAGTACAGTTTACAGTGATCATTTTCTAATACATTAATAGGGGTGTATTTGTAATATGGAACTTTGCTTTCTATGAATTTATGTTTATGTGATATATATAGATGTATAACTGTAGCAACTTGATCATGGCGGTGCTTATTATTATTATTGTTGTATTTATTTATTTTTTCTCAGCTTTTGCTGGTTTTCTCCACACTTACGGGCCGAAATCAAGTAAGTGCAGAGTGTGTGTATGTGTGTGCGCGTGTGTGTATGTGTGAGTGTGTGTGTACTTATTATGTGTCTGGTGTGACTGGTGTTATATTATTTTCATCGATTTCTATAAATTTTCGGACTGTACGACAGGTATTCAAGATGGTAGCCTTTTGAAGGGTAATGTAAAATGTTTTTTGTAATTGTTTCAGGCTATGATGTAGGTGTTTGGGTATGATACCCAAACACCTACACCACATGTATTATTATTATTTTTCTTTTTTTTTTTTTTTTTTTCTTTTCTTTTATGGATTTAAAAGAAGGTAATACTCACCTACACGGGCCTTAGCCAAGTGTGGGAGAGGTTGTGCTGGGTGAAGATATTGTTGAGGAGGTTACGAATTTTCGTATTATTATAATTATTATTATAATATATGTAAATAGTAAGTATTTATATCAGTTGTGCAACCTTGATATAACAAATCGTAAGGGAACAAGTAAATGTTCGATATATCAAGTAATTAGCTTACGTAATATCAACAAACTAGTTTTACCTAAGTGCCGTTTGACAAAAGCTAGTAATTCGTTTTATGGAAATTGCGTAAGGTCTTACAACAAACTGCCAGAGTCTGTACTCAATTTTCAGAAAAAAGATTCAAATATGTTATAAAATAATTTCTTTGTATAAAAGCTTATTATAAAATTGAAGAATTTATAAATGATAATAATGTTTTTGCAGAAAATATCTAACTTAAAATTCATAGTGCCAACAATGTTATCTGATTGAACAGAGATTAAGTGCGTAGCGGTTTCTATGTTGATTGTCACATGCCTAATCCTTGTTAATGTAAATATAATTAAATCAATATTTATTCAAAAGAGCAACACACAAGTTTCTTTCTCATTCTTGTGATGAATCTGCATTCCGAATGAGTGGTAGAATAAAAAAACTTGACTATTCAAAAGTGCTTATATTAAATTTATTTGAATAAAGATTATTTCTATTTCTATTTCAATTACTTAAATTGAGATTTGTTACGTTGGTCTGAAATTAAAGAGGAAAAAACGTTTCCGAGCCATTTCAACTTGAATCTTTCACTTCAACAATAGTGACGAGTAGCAGTTACTTTCCATCAAACAAAACTGTTTGTTTTCCATCAAAAAGGAATTATGTTTGTGAGTAAAGATCGATAGATAGATAATAGTTTTTATTTGTATCTTAGTACACACATATAGGCTTAATTATAACATCACATGACAGGTACCTATTGTTTAAAGTACTAAGTTTGTTTCACATCTATGATACTAGATGGCGCTAGTGGAAAAATTGAAACGCGCTAAAGTTTGACTTTTATCCCAACCCATGTACTGGAATTGTATTAATTTTCTTTGACCCCGACGACCCCATAACGGCAGGTAACCTCCCCACGGGCCTACCCGTTCTACCCCGACCACACTTTTACACACACACACGACACCGTCCTCGCCGGCGAAGACGACGACCTCAAACACACAATATCGCGCATTCAACCGGGCGCCTGCGCGCGCCCGGGCGCTCCACACCGGCGCCCCCGGGCGCCCCTCGATCGAAATTACGACGGCCTGAGCCGAGGTTCGAACCCCTAGTCGTGCCCTCAGACTAAAGTCGTATCCGTCAGACGGGAGTTTGCCTTCAGCCACTCCATAAGTCCTTCCTTAGTTTGGAGTGCCATCTGCACTCGCCCGTAACGTCCGGTGAAGCTGTAAAGGCCAGCTACGGCCAACAGCATTAGAGTAGTTCGAAAAAAAAATTTCTTTGGTCGCTTTTCTGGTCACGGCAGTGACGAATATACGCAGTGTAAATAGTTGTGTATTTTATTGTAGTGTACCTCTATAGTACATTGTGTTAAACACCTATAATATAACAAATTAATAAGGGTAAACCTGCGTGTGTGCTACAGCAATACAAAACTGGTACACAGCTCAGTGTGGAGAATCACTCAAGGAGCAAAACACTGATTTTCAGCTATATCATCGAGGGTGAATAATGTACTTTTATTTTATTTTTTTATAAACTAAAATGAGTTGATTGAATTAATGTGAAATAAATAATAAAGAAACTTGGAATGTAGGAATTACAGTTAACGTACCAGAACTTTATAAATTGATTGATTGTAATTATTATTACTACGGCTTCACTCGCGTTAATTTATCCCCTTAGGGGTAGAATTTATCAAAATCCTTTCTTAGGGGATGCCTACGTCATAGTAGCTTTATGCATGCAAAGTCTCAGCCCGATAGGTTAAAAATTGTCAAAGTTTCATACAAACTTTCATCCCCTATTTATTCCTTTGGGGACAGAATTAGTCAAAATTCTTAGCGGATGCCTAAGTTATAACATCTACCTACATGCCAAATTTCAGCCTGATACGTCCAGTGGTTTGGGCTGTGCGTTGATAGATCACTAACTTCCTTTGATTTATATATATTTAGATTCATCATCATCATCATCTGCTTCTTCCTTATCCCATTTATTTGGGGTCGGCGTAATATGTTATTCGCTTCCATTCATATATATTTAGATTATTAGTTACAAATATGTTTTGCAATAAACCTACTTTTAAAATTCAAAGCCGTGAAATTAGGCTTGAAGCAAATAAACAACAAATCGCATAAAAAAGTTTCAGTGTTGCCAACTTTATGGGGCGGGGACAACCCTCGTAACAGTTTACGACTCTCCAATGCAGCACAAACTTTAAACGGTCTACACTAAAATTAGGGGTTATTCTTACCAATATTATAAATGCGAAAGTAACTCTGTCAGTCTGTCTGTCTGTCTCATTTTCACGCCAAAACTACTGAACCGATATAAATGAAATTTGGTACACAGATAGTCTAAATCATGAGAATGGACAAAAGGGTTGTAAGGGGTTGAAAGAGTATATGAAAGATTGTATGGAAGTATCGTCATTTTTAGAAGCTTGAAAATTATTTTTCGAGCTGTTGATTAAGTATAAGTAAATATGTCATACAAAGTGTGTAAAAATTTTACCCTTAATAAATAAAATAGGGGATGAAAATTTGTAAATGAAAAAATTTGTAAAAAATTTTTCAGTCCATAAATACTAGATGGCGTTATTTACAATATTTGTAATAACACACAAACTACCTTCTTTTAATATTTTTAAAGTATCAGATTTTTCTACAATATTGATGTGAACCCTAACCTAACACTATGCATTGAAACAATAGTAAATATATATATATATATAACTCAAAGGTGACTGACATAGTGATCTATCAACGCACAGCCCAAACCACTGGACGGATCGGACTGACATTTAGTATGCAGGTAGATGTTATGACGTAGGCATCCGCTAAGAAAGGATTTTGATTAATTCTACCCCCAAGGGGAAAAAATAGGGGATGAAAGTTTGTATGAAACTTTGTCAATTTTAAACCGATCGGGCTGAGACTTTGCATGCATAAAGCTACTATGACGTAGGCAACCCCTAAGAAAGAATTTTGATAAATTCCACCCCTAAGGGGATAAATTGACGCAAGCAGGGCAAAAGCTAGTATAACATAAAAGTCATCTGTTCGTGCAAGAGCGATCATGCGAGATGAACTGAATTATAGACAGAAAAAAAATTACCTGGGTATATCCGCGAGGCGCGGTGCTCTGGCCCGCCGTACTGCGCCCCCGATGGGCAGCACGCCCACCTGATAACAACATTATTATACATTTAATGAGACACCCACACTTATATATTATTTATTTTTATCATTAACATAGTCTATACATATAAATAAAATTGGAGTGTCTGTTTGTAATATTGAAATAACCGTTTTTTGCTACATGCATATGAATATAAATACGGTACATACATCAAAATAACATTTAAATTAATCACAAAGTGATGATTGACGGCCCCAGTGATCTAGTGGTTTAGCACACTTACTTCTGATAGTCGCAAGTTCGATTCCTCGCACGGTACAGAAATTTATATTCGTGAGTATAATAGTTTGTATCGATCTGGGTGTTTTCTATATATAATATGTATATATTTACAAATACATTTCTGATTTAAGAGGCCTCCAGCCGCTATTGCAATTCCCCTGGTGTTGCGGGTGCTCATGGGCGGCGGTAATCACCATCAGGTGAGCCGCAAGCTCATTTGTCCCCCAATACTATAAAAAAAATGACTCAATTTGTTACCCCAGTACTGAACACCACCTGGAGTCATTGTGTATTTTTTTTTACATAAACTGGTAATTTAGCATACCTACTTACTCCAAATAACATTGAGGTATTATGTATTAACTGGTTAGAGATTAGGTCGACAACGATAACAAAACACCCCTGTGTTTCAAGTGTTCATAAGTTCCGGTAACCGTTTATCATTCGAATAGGCCGAGTCAGCCTGAAATTATCTCTATTATTTGCGGCACTATTGCTACAGTTTACTATCCATGGTCGTTCAATCGTGACTCTTTTAAAAAAAAAATATCTTAGTCATATAGAAATTGCCATGGGGTTTATAAAAATACTGCGTAAGTAAATAATATATGGGTAGTTAGTTAGTTACTATATATTATGTTATCTGTGCTATTATTTACCTAGCTATTACCTATCACTAGTTACTATTAATTACTAACATCCTAGATTCTTCTAGAATTTTTTTTGTAATTGTTGCAATGTTTTAAGTTTTTTGTATTTATCTGGGTGTTTTCTATGTATACATATTATGTATGTAGTTACAAAAAAAAAATCTAAGTATTTATATCAGTTATCTAGTACCTATAACACAAGGTCTGCTTGCTATGACTAAATAGCATTGTATTAATTGTCAAAAAGAAATGTTTCTATGGTATTTGCACCGTGTTATCTGTTGTACATAATACATCAATGATAAATAAATCTAGTTATAATATCTACTCCATAGTTTTTGTAGAGCAAACAAGATTGTACTTAAGTAGCTTTATGTGCGTACATTTTGGGTGCGTGTTACCGTTTACGATACGTATTCAATTCAAAATATCTTTATTCATGTAGGTCTATTACAGACTCTTGATATGTCAAATCTACCGACAGTTCAGAATGATTTCGAGATGAGAAGAACTGACAAATAACTCAGCTCGCAATCTTTTCAAATGAATTTTGTACATGTTTACAATAATACAGATTAATTATTAAATTCAAGTTTGGCATGAAACTGAAATTAGCCATCACGTTTCATTTTATTTAATTTCATTTCAGATATTTAGACCGTCTCATCTATCGTACATAATACATCAATGATAAATAAATGTAGCAATAATATCTACTCTATAGTTTTTGTAGAGGAAACAAGATTGTACATAACTAGCTTTACGTGCGTACATTTTGGGTGAGTGTTACCATTTACGACACGTATTCAATTCACATTCAAAATATCTTTATTCATGTAGGTCTATTAAAAGACTCTTATGATATCTCAAATCTACCGTCAGTTCGGTATGATTTCGAGGTGAGAAGAACTTCGAAGCTCTTACGAATATTAGAATGAACATAGGATATGTTTTATTAAAATAAAAACTAAATAATTTTTATTTCATGCATTCAATGCGACCGAAGCCGCGGTTAAAAGCTAGTGATAAATAAATTTAGTTATAATGTCTACTCCGTAGTTTTTGTAGCAAACAAGATTGTACTTAAGTAATGTGACCAGACGTCCCGTAATGAACGGGACAGTCCCTTTTTATAATTACAAGTCCCGGTGTCCCCGAAACGGACTCTGGGACGCAAAATTGTCCCGTTTTCGGTAACGGTGCGAAATTTTGGGTAGACGAGCCGGTTGTTAGTTGTTGGTAATTAAGGTGAGTATAAAAAAAATGTGCCAAGAGTGTCATTCTTACTTAAATACTTCTTACAAAGTCAAATTTGTTCCTCCGATAACAAAACATTTTATTTTTATCAGATAAATATAAACTATCTATGAATAAACAAAATGTTTAATTATATTTATCGGATATATTTCTTAATTGATAACTTTTTTTGAATGGATAATTTTAAAAAAGAGTTTTTTTCATTGGCTGTCTGTTAATTGTGTCCCGTTTTGAGTCGAAGAATAAATGGTCACATTGTACTTAAATAGCTTTATGTGCGTACATTTCGGGAGCGTGTTACCATTTGCGACACGTATTCAATTAACTATCACGTTTCGTTTGCGAGCAAAAACATGTGTGCGTTTTATCTCGGTACGAGCTTTATATTCTCACGCTAAGCAATAAATTGCATTAACACAAAAAAAAAACATGAAAATAGACTTTAAAGCATTGATTTTAAAGTCGAATTCAATATGACCTTGGATGTTAACTAAAAAAATGGGAAATTAGACTTTAATATCTTTATTTTAACGTCGAATTCAGAATGACGTCGATTCGCTCTAAATTAATTTTGAAGACAATCTTATGTAAAGTATGATATTAAATAGTAAATTTACATATCCTATTTTAGAAAAAAATCAAATGTAATGTTTGTGCAGACGACGGCACGGGCAATGGCTAGTCTTAATCTAAATATATATATATATACTAGCTGTACCCGCGACTTCGTCCGCGTAAAATAGTGACCTTGAGCAAATAATAAAAAATATATATTAATAATCTAACCCAAAAAAAAAGTTTCATCGTTCTAGCTTCAAAAATGAAATTTCCATACATAATTCCATACAATTCAATCAACAGCCAAAAACTAAGTTTCAAACTACTATCTTTAAAATGAAGATACTTCCATACATACCATACATACATTACATCTCCCCTTTCAACCCCTTATAACCCTTTTTCTTGTTTTTTTTAATGCTACTTACATTAGTGTCATCATGTACCAATGATAAGATGTCGCTATACTGTAACCATTTATGGCTGAGTCCTGTGGCGGTAGGTACTGATATTTTCTCAACAGCCTAATAAATGGGTTTCAAGTTTCTAGCTTTAAAAAATGACAATACATGCATACAACATTTTAACTCCCCTTTTGACCCTTACAATCCATTTTCTTAACTTATATCTAATCAATACGCAAAAAAATAAGATTGAAGCTTAAACTTTTAAAAAATTCCTCTTTCAGTCTCTTATAACCCTTTTTAGCGTTAAAAAGTAACCTATGTCCTATCTCAAGATCAAGACTTTAAATTTCATTTAAATCAGTTCAGAAGTTTTGGCTTTTAAGACAGACAGACAGAGTCACTTTCACTTTCATAATATTAGTAAGGTATTTATTAAATAAACTGACCCAAAAAAGCGTAAGAAAAAAGCTTCATCGTTCTAGCTTCAAATATGACGAATTTCCATAAAAACTTTTATCTGCTATTTTATTTTACCCCTTGAATGGTGACAATGTGATATTTACAAATTTAAATGTCATATTTATTTATATTTAATAAACAGTTTAAACATTTCTTTAAATTCTTTTGAAAATTGGTGGTCCAGTTGGCCAATAACATAATAAAATTTTGTTAAATCAAAATAATAGATGTGATATTCTAAATTGCAAACTATCCCTCTACTTGCGCGAACCATATCTCTGACTCTACTGGCCAGAATGGAGAAACGCGTATTCCGAACCTGAATAGCTCGGATGGAACGGTAGATGTTGTTTCTTCCAAGGAAATGTTGTTCATATGTATTGACAACATTTTTAATATTATATGTTGTTTTATTCTTCAAAAATATTAATAATATGTTCTTACGCTCTTGTCCAAGAGCAGAGTCATCAGTTATAGGCTATACCAGGATTATATTTATGTATTTATAAAATAAAATTGCAGAGCAAACGTTTATTCATTTAAATTCATAAGGAGACAACGGATTGACAATAATCAGTTGCGCACGCTGCTTATACAAATGACATGATATGTTTATTTATGACATATGAGCGTCAATAAGTCGCATATCTAGTACAATATTGGTGTAATTCAGAAATTAAAAATTTTTGAAAATAGACTTAATAACACAATTATAAAGTAGACTTTCCAAAATATCTAATTTTTTAGTTAAGCCATTATTATAATAAGTGTGTATTCAACCGCATAAAGATAACCTTGCATTACCATTTTCAACCCCTTACAACCCTTTTTTCGCATTAAAAAGTAGCCTATGTCCTTCCTCAGCGTCTAGACTATATGGGTACCAAATTTCATTTAAATCAGTTCAGTAGTTTTGGCGTGAAAGCGAGACAGACAGACAGACAGACAGACAGACAGACAGACAGACAGACAGAGTTACTTTCGCATTTATAATATTAGTAAGGATATAACTCAAAGGACTGACTGACTGACATAGTGATCTATCAACGCACAGCCCAAACCACTGGACGGATCGGGCTGAAATTTGGCAAGCAGGTAGATGTAATGACGTAGGCATCCGCTAAGAAAGGATTTTTATTAATTCTAACCCCAAGGGGATGAAATAGGGGATGAAAGTTTAAATGAAACTTTGTCAATTTTAAACCGATCGGGCTGAGACTTTGCATGCATAAAGCTACTATGACGTAGGCATCCCCTAAGATAATATTTTGATAAATTCCACCCCTAAGGGGATAAAATAGGGGATGAAAGTTTGTACAAATCCTCTTAAATTGTCGACTGATTGAACTGAAATTAAAGATTGGAGCTAAGTATGATCACAGATAATATAATATTACATACAGATACCCCATCCCATACAAGAAAATGGTTCCTTCCTAACTCGGGCTATTCTTCGGGCTATTTTATTTCGCCGCCGTAGGCGCTAGATGTCGCTATATCTGAAGCAGTTCGGATTACTAGTGGGTGATTAGTAATAAAGCATGAAAATAGATGGCAGAGAATTCGGTCTACATGACATCTGTTTTGCAAAGATACGTACATAATAGATATACATATAACTGTATCGAACTCCTGATTGGGTACAATCGAAAATTCAATGTAGGTATAATATTGTTCGCTGACAGTCTACAGACACGGCTAATGTACCTATGTATCTATGTACTATGTTACAGTTACTTTTTTACATTAGGCATGTGTGGCTTTTTTTCTCCCGACGAAGATATGTCGTAACGCGTCTGCACTAAAATCGGGCTATCGGTTAAGGAGCAATAGCTCCTTAACGAATAGCCCGATTTTAATACGGTTTTTTTTATTTAAATTGTTATGTGATAGTGATAGATTTTAGCTATAATCAATTGATGTGCATATGGGTACCTCATATAATTTTCAGTGTATAATTATTTCTCAATATGTAGTTAATTATGGTAAACTGGCAATTTGTAAAACTGAAAAT